TGGGAGCAAATTTGCTGCTAATGGAAGAAAACTGCTCTTATTTCCTGGGGACCTACAATGGGCCCCTGCTGCCAACAGGGAGAGCACTAGACTCCCCTTGAGTGGTAGCTCGGGGCTGGTAAGGAGCACCAGGCCAGGCTGTCTCCTGGCCAGAGCTGGGACATTGCTCCTGGCCCCTGGGAGGGCTGCCTGTTGTGGGAACAATATTCTCCTGCCCCGGCAGCAGAGAGCTCCCTGCTCTTGCTCCCTGATCTGGGAAGGGGATTGGGAAAGAGCTGCAAGGGAGGGACAGTTCCAAAATCCCTGCCCCAATCTGCCAGTGGGGCAGCTCACAGTGAGCTCCTGGCTGGGCAGGGCAGGTATTCCCTGCCCCACCCCCCAACCCCCCAGCCAGGGGCTTGCTACTAGATGTGTAGCTGGTGGATCAGGGAAGTGGGTTTGTACCTGCACTGTCCCTGCAGCTCTTTCCAAGCCCCATGCCTCAATTGTGAAGTGGGAACTAGAAGATAAGGATATCCCAGCCCCCACTCCCTGATTGTGATCTCAGAGCAGGGGGTTTTGAGATCCCGGCTGCTGGGGCAGGGAGACAGAGCCCCTGCCCAGGCTCTGGTGGCAGAGCCTGCCCCAGCAGCAGGCAGTTCCCAAAGCAGGCAATCTTCCGTACCCTGGTGGCTGACTGACTGGGAGCAGATTTGTTGCGAGTCAGGCATCTACATGAGCGCTACTGTGCAGTTAGTAATGACAAGTAAATTTGCTACTTGTACTTGCAGGTAGCAAATTTACTCATGATTAGTGAGGTTTACTATACAGTAAGCATGTGTATGTGTAGATGCACAAGCTTACTGTGTAGTAAACTATACCACTTTACAGTAAAGCATCTCATGTAGACACACCCAGTGTAGGATAGATAAAGCCTTAAGGATAGATAAAGCCTTAAGGGACAGGCAATGAGTTCTCCCAAGTACATCTCTTCCATTGTTCTTTAAACATTTAAAACAGATTAAGTTGGATTTTTCTAATTGAAAGGAAATTCCAAAAGGAAAATACTTGCATTCTCTGTTACCACATATGTTATATGAGTATTTATCAGCAGTGGGACAGTTCTTGTCCAGACATTAATACACTACCATCATCATTTTACATTCTCTTCTGCCCCCTTCACCCTTGTCCTTTTCCCATAATAATGCTTTTTTGTAACGGGGGAAAGGGAGTCTAATACAGTTTTCCATATATATAGCTAGTTTAACACAAAAAATGAGGTAAAATTAATAAGAAAATGAATGTGCATATTCAGTCTTCAGTGACACCTTCTTTCATGTCTGTGCAAAGTTGGAAATAAAAAAATAACAGAGTTTAGAAACTAAAGTCTTAAAGTGTAAAGTCCTATAACATGGATGATACAAATTGTTTTATATTTGTCTCAAATTTCACCTTCAAACACTATCCTCCAGTTCCTTGGCTTAAGGTTGGTACCAATTTTAGAATCCTTTATGATTGTTAGAGTGGGTGTAATTAATTCTGAGGGGTCTAATTTTGCGTCTTACACATTGCTTCCATATTTGGCCTCAAATGAGTTGTCACATCTGTCCATTATTTTGAAATGCTCTCCTTTTCTTTTTCAGCAAAGCATACATTTGTTCGTATTATGTCAGCTCTTGCATATTCTGTTATGCATTTATTGAAGGTTTCACCTGTAGGCAAACAGAAGGAACAAATTCATTAAAATATGCAGTACAGTGATATGCATATTAAAAATATTTTCTCCTCCTTTTTGCAGCCACAGTAGAGAAACCTCATGTACACAGTAAGTATAACACTGATAGAGTATTTTTTACATTTGTTTGTGCAAGGATGACAGTTCCTCATGTTCTTTGTCAGAATTAAGAGGTTAATTATTAGATTCAACATGATGAGCCATTTGAGGTCTTAAAGGAGGGTTCTAGGTATACAAAAGGGGTGAGATGAAAGCTAGTGGAATTACTTGATATTTTACTGGTATAACAAAGATCAGATTTCAGTTCTGGGCTCAAGAGTCACCAAACAAAAATGGGACGAAAATATCCTTACAGAAAGTAATTTCAGTGTTAAGGGGATAAAATACTGTAATCTGTGCTAGGCAGAGGTGGCCAAAATTCAGAATTTGCATTTCAAAGGAATTGTTGATGTTTTGAAAAATTGTATCTAGTTACTATCAGCATTAAAACAGTATTTTGAAAGGTTCTCTGAAAAATAAATTCCAAAAAAAGGTCTGTTTTGGTAAACCTATTTTGAAATATTACAATTTTTTGTTTAAATCTTTTTTAGATTTGTATTTTACTTATATACATATTTTATATTGTTTTATTCCTTTTTAAATTATTCCATAACATGCTATACAGTGGTGCACAGTATAGAACAAATGATTCCAAACTAACACAAAGATATTGAAAGAGCTTCTCTTATTAGTCCCCTAAATTCTTTTTTTCCAGTTCAAAGTGTCTCTTTAAGAGTTAACACAGTACAATCAACATATTCTTCAATGTAGAAGATAATATATTTCAGTCAGGTTCAAGTAGTAGCTTCCCTTATTTAATTTTTAAATTTTACTAAATTAAAATAAATTAAAACTAAAATATTTCCACTGTTCTCTCACTTGTATTATGATAGAATGTGCATTACCATTAGGGAGGGGTCATGAAATAATATATTTTTTAACAAACCCTTAACATTTGAAATTAAATTTCAAATTCCCAAATGAATTTTTGCAGTTTTCTAAAAGAGAAAAGATTTCAAAGTATCTTGTAGGAAATGTCATTGAATATCAATAATATAAAAATTTAACCTTTGTCAAAACAGTTTTGTCTGATGAATAGCTGTTTTGATGAATCATGTAAGCAGCTTTACTAATAGATACACAGCTATGACAAGAAGGTAATTAAAAATCTAATTTCTATTGTGTGGTGGTTCTTTTTTGCAGAGCATGAACCCGTAAAGCAGGAAAAAGCTGTTTCCCATGCCAAAATAGGTAGGTTTTTCTATTCAGATCTTCAATTCATGGGTATCTATATCTATAGATAGATAGATAATATAATATATGAATATTAACATATTCATTGTGCCATGAATGTAAAATTGATCTGGGGCCTGAGGGATGGATTGTGAATGCCAGATTGTATGAGCAACTGTTCATCAATGGCAGCAAGACCTTTACTTTCTGACCCTAAAGGAGCTGAATTTTTGTAGTTAAAATCAGACCAAAGGAAGCCTAAAGTAAATTCGACCTTTCTCCTGAAAAAATAAAGGAAAATACCCTAGTGCCATATATATACGGCGCATTGTATGGCACAAAGGCAGCCTTCTGTCGGAACACCATGATGGTGGGGGCACAGGAGACGGAGCGGGGGGAGGAGCGAGCCCGAGCAGGGGAGAAGCTGGCCTGCCGTGGCAGTGTGGGGGAGAGTGGGCCCGGCCCAGCCCAGCCAAGCCCAACATGATATCTGCAGGGGGAGGGGAAGAGCGATCTTCCTCCCCGTGTTGGGCCTGAGCCCACTCCTCCCCAACCCCTGCTCCCCTGCGTCAGCCCCAGGCCCGCTCCTCCCCTCCAACCCCACCCACCATGGCGGCCTGGCTTTTCCCCACCCTCGGGCCTAATCCTCCACCGCATCAGACCCAGGCCCACTTCTCCCTTCCCCCTGCCACTGTGGCGGGGAGAGGGGGAGTA